ACAAAGAGTTCAGATTTTTCCTCATCCGACAGGGCCAGGATCCATCTTATTTTCGGAGAGGTGCTGACAGCTCTTGGTGCTTTAACAACTTTTTGTTATGCTTCAACAAGCTCCCATCGTCAGTCGAAAGACCACCTACATATGCGTCATAGTTAGTCCTGTTAAATTTTTGGATTTCTCTTTTAAGTTGATTGTTCAGTCGGTTAAATATCTGTCTATCTGATGGGCGTCTGTCAGTCTGCCATATTTTACGCGCTTTTCTCTTTGCTCTGATTAAGTCCCTTATGTATTGAGGGTATTTTGGCAAATGCTCAGTTGTCGCAGAGTTGGATTTTGGTGTTGATGAAGTCCAAGCTGCTTGTTGAATATTTTTAGTGAATGTTTCCACAGCCTCCTCCAGTTCTTTTTCACTTTTTATGGACACTGGAATCAAAAGAGAAGAGTTTAAAAACTCTCTATATGCATCCCAGTCAATTGGTCCATTGATGAGAGCTGGTTTTCTTTGCACGTTGACGGCCTCATCTAGTACAATAAGGTGTACCGCTGAATGATCAGAGCTCGTACTTATGGAAAGAGGAACAGTACGCAGTCCTTTTGTAATAATGTAGTCCAAAGGTCCGGGGATTTAAGTCTCGATACAGGTCAGTATGTCGGTGTGTCAGGATTTATAGTGTCTAATGAAAGGTCGTGGGTAGTAGCCCTCAAATTTCTTCCTCTTGGTATCGTGACCCCCAATGTTGGTGCTTTGCGTTGAAGTCACCACCTGCTATGAAACATCGACCTAACATCGAAGTTAGGTCATATAAACACATATCCTGGAGGACAATAGATGGAACCTAGTGTCAATGTGTTGTTTTTCATGTATAGTGTGATGTCTGTGGCCTTAATGGCAGGTGTAGTTGGCAAGTGTAAATGGTTGTGTGATAATGTTGATCTTGTAAGTATAACTGTGCCGCCGTGGGCATTGTTGTCGGAATGGTCTGTCCTGTGTGTAACATAGCCCGAAATACCGAATTTTGATCGTGGTGTAAGGTGAGTTTCCGTTATCAAGGATACTTCTATACGTTTTTCATGAAGATATAAGTCCATTTCAGTTTTGTGTTGTGTCAGTCCATTTGCATTCCACAGAAGGATGGACAAAGAGCCTGCAGTCAGCTGATTAGCTGCCATTTTGTGGATACATGGCTTGAGTCCCCTGTGCAAGCTGTTGGAGGATACTAAAAAGGGGCTGTATGAGGAGTTTAAACCATTGAGTAATTGGAGCAATTGAGGTGGGGCATTATTTTCAGCTGAAGGTGGCTGCTGGGTAGTTTCCCGCCTCATACCTGAACATGATGGTTTGATGTTAGCAGATGTAGAAGCATTATCTGTTCTTGTCATCTGGTTTCTTGATGGTCCCCGCTGCTGAGCTGTAGCAGGCGGTTTCTGCGAAGCATTTTTTTGTATTGGCTGCTCTTTTCGCAAGGGCTGCTGAACAGTGGGAAATTCTTTGATACTTGATGGTGGAGGAAGAGGTGGGGTTCTAGGAGGATGGTTGGTTCTTGCTGTTCTCCTATGTGCCCTCAGATCCTTCAGGACCTTGGCATCCTCGTTAGTTGGCTGGGTAGTCTCCAAGGCAGTTTGCGCAGGTTGCTTAATTAATTAATTAATTCATTATAATTAAAAAAAAAGGTTTGATTACATATTCTTAATTTATAAAAGGATTGAATTTACGTCTCTTTGCTTTTAGGAACTTTTTAGTTACGATAATAAATAATAAAAGGATCTATTAAGGCGAAATTTTTATCGCTACCTTAGGCAACGGTGATTACCTTCTCTCCCCTTCCTCCACCTTTAAAAAAAATAACCCTAATCTGATATCAAAACGTATTTTGAAAAGTCAGTCACATTTTTCAAGAACATTCTTCTAATATGTAATAAACTCACACTCCCAATATGAAACATTCTAAAAAATAGCGCAGAATTAGTAAAGTTTTTACAGGAAGAAGGAAAAACATACTTTGCAAAGAAAAAGTTGCAAAAAAAAAAAGATAGGCTCATCACTATGCAGACAAATTTTACTGTCATAGAAAGACAGATATTTTTATATTTTTGACATTTACAACGTTTTGGAAATGCACGCTTCATTTCTTAAAATTAAACAGTTTGTTAAACAAAATTTAAAGTTGAAATTTAAATCTAGTTCAGTTTCGACAGATTTTTCTGTCCGACGGGGCTTTGAAATTCGACCAGTGTCTGCAGGATTACCCCAGGGAACAATATTGGCTCCTTTACTCTATATTATATATAGGTATGACATACCTACCACCTCTAGAACAGTGACTGTTATTACGCTGAAGATACAATAATTTTAACAAAAAATCACGACCCCAGACTAGCCTCACTGAATTTACAAAATCATTTACTGACTTTACGAAATTGGTACTCACTTTGGAAAAAAAGATTAAATCATGACAAGTCGCAACATATAACATTTACACTCCGAAGAGAAACATGCCCACCAGTTTATATAGGAGAGAACCAAATTGCTCAGACAAACACAGTACGTAACTTGGGACTAATATTTGACAGAAGGATGACCAGGGGCCCACACTTCAAAATGAAACGACAGACCTTAAACAAGGTACTGAAAATACTGTACTCACTTTTTTACAAACCAAAATTGGAAGTCAGACAAAAACTCAATACATACCCTTACCTACTCAAACCCATATGGACATACGCCTCAGAAATTTACGGTTCTGTAAAAAAGACTCACTTACAAAAACTGCAGACATTCCAATCCAAAATTTTACGACTTCTAACAGGAGCTCCTTGGTACGTAAACTACAAAACTTTACATAACGACTTACGACAACCAAAAGTTTTTTCAGTTCTTTTTGAACAAGAATGTTTTCCCTATCAACTTTCAAGAGTTTTTATTTTCTTTATTTAAGAGTTCTGTCGATTTCGTCAAAAAGTCTTTCTAAAAATATGACTTTTATTCATGAAGTTGGGGTATGAAAGCCTTTGAAGACCAGTTTTCGCCGTTCGTGGACATTGCTGAGTCTTCATGGGGTTTCAGTCGACCAACACATACGCGATCTCTAGTCCAGATTTCATCTTAAACTACTCGGATATTATAACGGATTTATTAACGACATGGCCACAGCTGACATGCCTATCAGGAGACAACTAAGGAGGAGCTGGATGAGAGATCTCCTTTCCTCATGTCTAAAATGTTAATTTTTCGTAATAGTTACAGCACATCTGCTTATTGTCAAGCTCATGACAGGAGTAAATGAAAATATGAAAAAAAAATGGTTCAGTGACGAACGAAATTAAACACAGGTGCTGATGATCACGAAGTTCAACGACTTAAAACCAAAACAAAAGTAAATTGTGAGATTTACTTTTACTCTTGCGTCTAAACTATCAAGTGGCATGATACAAAGACTCTAACACTATTATCAAATGATTCGTAAGACCTTAATATAGTCTGATACCTATAAATAAATTATAGGTAAGAAGCTCGTTTACATATTTTATGTACCTCCATTAACATAATAAAAAGGAGATAGCAGCAAGACTCAGTTCTTGGAATAACTCTCCATCCATTCCAAATATTTATTTAATATAAACCTCTGTTTTCCGTAGAGGATTCAAGATGTTTCGGTTCAATATAAATATGTATGAGAGAGTTGTCTCAAGTATCAGGAACGAATAAGAATATTTAGCTGTCGAAATGAATAAGCAATGGTCTGGCTTCAGGACCATTTCTGATCGATCTCTGTTGAATAACTCTTTTGAATATAAAATAAATTATGATATGTGTAAAAATATGCATTAGCACATTAAATTGTGCGTAAAAATCGCTCTCGATAATTCAATAAAAATAAACTAATAATCATAAAATATGTACCGCATAACATGACAGTTTTAATCACGGCTTAAAACGGAAAAACTACTTTTACTTTCAAAATGTTTCGGTATCACCGAAATTTTTTTTTGTCGATAGTCTTTTTCAGTTCTTTTTGAACTAGAATATTTTCCTTATCAACTTACAAGAGTTTTTATTTTCTTTATTTAAGAGTTCTGTCGATTTCGTCAAAAAGTCTTTCTAAAAATATGACTTCTATTCATGAGGTTGGGGTATGAAAGCCTTTGAAGACCAGTTTTCGCCGTTCGTGAAGGTTGCTGAGACTTCATGCGGTTTCAGTGGCGAGTGAAGGGTGGGGGGTGAGGAGGGACGTACCATATCTTGTATGAGTCATTAGAATGTCCCTGCAAGCTATCGGGAAATCGTATGTAATCTTATATTAGAATTTAGATCAATGAAATGCATTTAACCAAACATTATTTACAGGAAAAAATAATAAAAATTTTCAAGTATTATTAGGCAGTAGGGCAGAAGAGTCTCAAAAATATAAAGGCTAATTAGTTGAGATCTGAGTTATATATTATTTCAACGAAGCATTAAGAAAAACTTCGATTGGTCCACACTCTGAATATTTAAAAAAAAAAATTAATTACAATACGCTTGGGGGAAGGGAGCACCGTTGGGTTGGCGGGGGGGGGGGGGGGGAGATAGGTCATTAGGGAAATGCGGTTATTGCTAGAATTAGCCCGGTGTTAAACTCTCATTAGCTAGTCCCTTAGTCCAGTTAGCTACCATTGGACCTCTGGGGAAAAATTCAAATTCCTCCGGCTTAGCTCGAGAATAACTTAACCCAGTTCAGTTTTGTATTAATTACTATTATGTAACTGTGATATTTTCGTCGGCCAAAATGCTGAAAGTTCTAATTATATTATAGCTGAGTGAAAAATAAAAACCTCAATTTCGTCGAGTTTGTTTTAACGTGTCATCAAGATGAAACATTATCGTTATAAAGGTTAGCGAAATAGGAAGAGGCGACTTAATAAGAAGGCGAGGAAGAGACAAGGGAGAAGCATCGCCTCAATTAACTTCTATGCAGCGGTAATAAATCGGAGCCCTCCCAGGAGCTCAGCTACTTAGGCCCCTAATTACAGCTAGGCTGCACCAGATGCCGCTGATTTAGTGGGCCAGCCAATCCGAAGGATGCACCGTCCCCCACCACGCGTAGATCCGACCAATCGGGAGGCGTTATGGGTCGATTAGGGGCCGTAAGTGCCCATGAGGTAGATTTATGAGTCATCTCGCCCGCTCGGAGTTAACAAACTGATTAGCGAGTTAATCTAGCCCGGCCTGAATACTTTAATTAAGCCTTAATGTACCTATTACCATGCGCTCAGGGTCTACCTTAACTGCTCCCCGGTTATTAATGACATCACATCCCAATTCCTGTTCGATATTGCCGGTCGTTTCTATTACCTGTGGTCCCTGTATTACTAGTATTAGTACTATCTATAGTGAACTTACAAGCAGCGCAGAATAAAAAAAAATTATTTTTACATCACTGTAGTTACTGATGTTTTAAAAGATGTGCGATGGTGCAATTAAAAAAATTGAATGAAGGAAAAAAAAAAGAAAATTGATTTCCTAGCTTCTTCTGATTTCCCAGATAAGCACTGCTTTTTCTTCATATTTCTCCCCCCCCCCAAATTTCGGGAGCATGTAACGTCACTTTTTGATGAAATCCTGTTCCGTTCGATTTTTCTTTCATCAAAATCCATCGCTCCTGAGAGCCGGAAAAGAATGGTGGTGTTTACTGACGAGTGATATTTTAAGATTTAGAAAACATTTAAATGTGAAAAGTGATATTTTTAGTGAACTATAAACATTTAGAATGTTTATTCATGAAAATATGAAGATTATTCATGAATAATCAAATAGAGATATTCAGTTATATTACTTGTACAGATTGCTGTACTAATTTAGTTAATGAATATTTATCTAGCTTTGGTTATATTTTTATTTTTCATTAATATGATTTTCAAATTTATGAAAAAGATATTTTAAATTAATTAATATTTTTACTTTAAAAAATATTTGTAACATGCACTTAACGGTTACTTTTGTATTTTGGTAATATTTGACTGTGTAAGTAGTCTCTTGTTTGCTCGTTCGAATTCGTCTTTTCTGAATAATTTTATTTATTTCAACTGTGAATTATATTTTTTCCATTGTACTTAATATTAAAGTCCTTAATAGAATTACATATACATCAGTGTAAATACGTTTGTTGTAGAAAATATTTATATCATAAATTGCAGTTTTTTTTTATTTGTTGTATATTTTATTTTATTTTTTCTTGTAGATATATTCGAAAAACTAGTTATGAATAATACTGATTTTAAAAATATTAAACCAATTATTTTCTTAGAAAATAATGTAAGATGAATATATACTTAAATATATTAGTTTAACGAGAGACTATTGATGTTTGTTTAGTGGTATAATATGTTTATGTATATTACCGTGATTTTTAATATTTGCATGAAAGAATTGTCTGAGTATTGAGTGTTTAGCCTTATTTTGTTGGAAGAGAGATTTTTTGGACATTCATTCTCTAAATAGTTTTTCGCAGCTGGAACACTGCGAAAAACTATCGCATTATACAGATTGACCACAATAAGATATGTATTTTAGACTTGAATGTAGGCATGCTGCCTCGAACGTCATCAGATGGTTTTGTGAGCTAATATATCTAATCAGAATAATTTTTTATTGGAAGAAGCATTATGAATTTAAAGTAAATTGTATTATGTTTGTTGTAATATGTTCTTAAGTATATATGTTTTACAATTTTATTGGCATAAAACCTTTGTTAGATCTTATTACCTTTATTTTTTAGTTTTATAATGTAGCTTCTTGCGTAGTTTAATAATGTTTTGGTTTATCCTTTTCTTCTATTGGTCAATTATTCTAAAATATGTTTTACATTATATTATATAGGCGTTCCAACGAGGATTGTCTCCAACGTCAGGGCTCAGCTCCAGAGTTCGCGGTCATGGCAATACTTAAAACGCCGGCCAGCCATCTCCTCTTTTACATCATGTATCCATCTTTTCCTTGGTCGTCCTCACCTACGTCTTCCCGGCGATTGCCAATCTAGGTTTCGGTTAGGCCATCGCTCGGCAGACATTCGTCTTACATGGCCGCACCACAACAGTCTTCGCCGTCAAATTATCTGGTTGACGGATAAGGGGAAAACGTTATTCGGAGTCCTTATATTAGCTATTTTGTTATATGAGCAGGATGGGTTTCTATCAATGTTTTACTTTTTGTTGATCAAACTCCCTTTTCAGTTTGATGAACAGGATTGGTCTTAAGAACTAGTTTAATTCCATTGCTCATTAAAATAATGATTAGGATAAATAAATATCGGAGGAATATACAGTGAAGAATTTTTATTAGGTTAGCCGACGTTTCGACCCGAACATGTGAGTCATCAGGGCTAGATATTACAAAATATAAGATAACATCAGTAAGAATATGAATATAAAAGTTTAAGAGTAATGACATTAAATAAGTAAAATAATAGTAATAACTATGATAAGCAAATGGTTTTTTTATATAAATGAATGAAAAAGGTATGTATTGTATATCAATTGTAAGAATTAAAAAACGAGTAATTAGAGTAAATATCTGGAATATAAACAATTAAATAAATAAGAAGTGTGCAGTAAACAACGCACGTAAATAAAAATGAATAAATATGGCAATGAGATTTTTTGACGGCTAGAGAGCATATAACAATGGCCACTTTGATTATAAACTTGTTCTCACTCGCTGAGTTTCATTATTACAACACTCAATTATCAAGAAATAAATTTTTGAGCAGATATAACAATAATGCAACGCGAATGATAAGGGCAACAATTTCGCTGAGTCATTAATGCGTATGTGGGCACGTCAACTAAAAGTAAGTTTGGGCAACCTGAAAAAGAGAAAAAGCTTGACGTTGTTCGAGATCCGTATATTAGCTCAGTTGTTGGGGTGCGCGATTTTTCGATATGAGCAGGTTGGGAAGGGGATGTTTAACTTTACGTTAATAAATCTTGTCTTTCAATTTGATCAACTAGATTGGTTTTCTGAATTGGATCCATTAATTTTAAGTGGCAATACTGGCTTAATCTCCCTTTTTTCAATCACTTCTAAGGTGTTTCCTTTTGTTTCCTTTATTTTTCTGATTTCGCTGTTCCTGATATCCAAGAAACCCTGGCCTATATTAGGCGCAGACAAATCAGCATGACAATATCCTTTCTTATCTCGTTACTTTCCTAGATCGAGTTTAATTGCTCACATTATTATGCACATATTGCTTTGATTTTTTATAATTCATACGTAAGTCTCATTGTCTGTATGGGCCCGATTCATTCCTTAACATCAGCTTCATCTCAACATGTAAGACGATCAACAGTTCATGAGCAAATAACAAATGATGGAAGTAAGGGGCATTGATTGGATTCACACTAAGCCACATTTATCTGTCCATTTTTTTTATGTGAGCATCACTAAATATTTTGAATAAGAGTGGTGATATGCAACATTCTTGAATTCTGCCCTTATTTCACTGAAAATCAACCGATAGTGAACATGTGAATTTATATTTGACATAAATTTACTTGATGTATTTATATAATACAGTTGTAAATGTCATAAAGAAATTAAAAAAAAAAAATATTTGACATACAATGTTATATATTTGCTTTGTTTTGTTTATGATACCATGGATTATGACGCCTATATCCAGAGATTTCTAAAGTAGATTTCGAGATATTCTGTCGTAAGTCTTTTCTACATATATAAATACCATATATATTCGATTTCGCTTGCTTTACCAACCTCCTTAACACTAAAACACTAAATAAAAAGAAACATTTTAAAGAGAAAAGACGCTGGTTTATACAGGCAGGAGTATGAAAAGATTTAATTGACAGAGGTGCTATTAAAATTTGTTTCCACACTTTACTGTCCATTTCTTAAAACCTGACATATCGGTAGGAGTTGACTTGTACCCGGCTGATCACTGGTGCTCCCATCATGGCTTCCGAGGATAGTCACCTATATGTCCTGTCAACTCTGGGGCCAACATGGGAACTTACCCGACCAATTCATATCATTCCTCTCATACGACTATTCACTCATATCGGAGCAGCTTGACTCCTGCCGAAAACAAGGGAGCCCTCCTGGACCTGCAAACTCCTCGGTTCTTCCTCCAAAGATAGAACGTGAGAAAATGTTCACTAAATTGAAGAAGCGCGCCGCAAATGGAAGACACGTCGGGTCACCTCCAAGAGGGAATTCCATAACAGAGCCTGGTCTTAAGCGGTTGGTAGAGTATTGCCAACAATTGACTTTACCATAAAATTCATTCGAGACCCAACACATCTGGAGAAATATGAGGGGTTAATAATAGAACACATACGATTTAGTGACCAACTCATCGCTTACTCTCCTACCAATTATGTGAACTCTCACCAAGAGTTGGACAGATTCCACTGTGAAGTCAAAGGTGCCGTTAAAGAGTCACTAGGAGATTCTCATGCCTGTTACCTAATTACAAACGAGTTTTCATCACTATGATCCGTAAACTACCTAAAAGGTTTTAGTTAGGACTCGTAGTTCACAGATTTTTGATCCACTCGAGGTTTTATCTACCGTTGCAAAACTCTCCTTCAGGAGCATTAGTTCTCACCAGATATCCCTCCGCGCACTATGGCTTATTACCTTTGTCTTCATTATAAACACCATCATAGTTTTATTCTATTCAATAGACGATATAACTGACCATCCAAAGAGAGAACAAGAGGAAAAGAAGCCGGCCGGATCTTAGGTGGAAGGACGAAATGACACAGTATGTAGGCGATAACTGGTCTTTTGTGGATAGAGATAGAACCAGGTAGGAAAATGTTATCAATAATATTTAGGTGTGCCGTTTCATTTTGTTTTGCCATTCCGTGTTTTTTAAAGTATTTGTTTTTTTAATGCTACACGGATTTACCTTATGCCTTAAATTGTTACTATATTAAGGGAAATCTGACATGTCCTGTTTTGTTTTACGTATTTTAAAATAAGTGTTTACATGAGTTTTTATTAATTTTTTTTAAAGTATGTATTCACTCTTTTGTGCGCTGTAGCTTACTCCATTAAAATTCCTCCCTAAGAGAGAGGTTTTTTTCAAATCTATTGATGTCAATAAATCTTATTATTATTATACATGATCATTCTGTACTTAATATTTTCTTATATATTTATTTATTTTATGAGTTTGTTTATTTTTATTAGATTTTATATTAAATTTATAATGTTATAATGTATATTTGTATATGTGTTATATATTGTAAATTTGGATGCTGATGGCATTTCATTTTTATCTCTCTCTCAGCAGATAGTTAAATTTACTTTACATCCGCAGGTATTTAAAATTTTCCGTCTTAATTCGAAAAATAAATTATTCTTAATAACTACATGCATATGCCATACTCGTTTACACAAGGTATTATAGAAGAAACATCAATAGGGATAGAGATAGAGCAGAGATTCTCCTATTAGATTGATCTATAGGCGATTAATAGTGAAAATTTATTTAATTTTTTAATTAAATATTAATTTAATAATAAAAAAATTATTAATTTATTTGATGTGTAAACTATAATTTGTAGTCACTCTGATTTACCATAAATTATAATTAATTCTGAATCGTGAAGAAATAAATATATGAAAAATATTAAAGATGGACTTGAAGAAAAATATAACATCAAGACTAATTTGAACAGATATTTTCAAAAAGAGAGACTGTCTTCGGCATATATACAATTCCAGGGCGTGCTGACTCTTGTAAACAACTTTGTTGACAAGGGAAAAACTGTTTCTAACTCCGGCCATTCTTTGCCTTGAATATATTAAACACCTCCCCTACCCCTCCACAAACTATTTCCTCCTCGCTTTCTTAGTGTTTATTCTTTTCTTCCACTCACCATTCAAGATGATACATGGGACTAAACGTTAGGACCATTATTAGAATACAATAGAAATGGTAATTTAAATTTCAGATTTTCTTGACCTCATAGATGCAGGAAAAATGGGACCAAAAAGGTTTTGTTGTTTTTTATTCATGACTATATTGTAGAGTTATTCTCATATACATTTGTTATAGTTATTTTACATAGATCTGCTAAATGTAATTCAATCAAATTCTCATAATATAAATAGAAATATTCCTCGCTTTCTTAATGTTTATTCTTTTCTTAAACTCAACATTCACGACTGAACATTGGTACCGTTATTGGAATATAACAGAAATGGAAATTTATTTTATCAGTATTTTAAAGAAACAATAAGAATGAAAAGGCATGTTGATTTTTGAAGAATTCTGGTGACAGCTATCAATTGTAAAGCATGAAATATTATATGAAGTATATGCACGTATAGTGCAATGCGCTGAAAGCATATTGAAATGACGTAATAAATTAGAAGTCGAATTGAAGAATATTTTTCTCCTGTTATAAATTAGTGACAAAATAATGAAGAGACATAACATGAATGTTAGGTTATTATTGGAAAAATTACAAACCACACATGTCTCCAAAATTCAGGCAAAGAAAAACCCGTTAACGTTTCGTCAATTCAGGCATCATTAGGACAGAAAAACTGATAGAACATCACTCCATGAAATCCAAATGCATACTGAAAGAAAGATAAGACAGCACAGCAAGGGAAGGTTACAGTCAAACAGCTGATAAGGAAAACAAACGACTAATTAAATTTATACCATATCTAATCAAAAATCATAAATATGTCATAAAATAAATTTAAATAAATAAATAGCAATAAATAATTTTTTTTTAAATTAAGGAAGTGAAAAAAGAAAATAATGAGAAAAAAAATTAATAATTAAAATAACCATACATATAAAAACGCAATGACAAAAGAAAGTTTTCATGAAAGAATACTAACTACGTGGATGAAATTTACAAATGAGAACAAAGCTGCATTTTTTAGACTTATCTAAGATGCTCAACGGTTCCGAATAAAAGTTATTCATGTTTCTACTGTCTGTTCTGTAGTTAACAGCATTATGCAGCTTCCGTTTAATATTCATAGCCTCAAATATCTTTTATTTTAAACTATTTTTCTGTTTCTGTAGCACTCATACATTACGAAATCAAATTCATGTTTAAATATTATAGAGTGCTAAGCTAATGCAGTGTTAGGCTCCTTTCTATTAATGTTATTACAGTCATATTGATATATCCTGCTATATCATTCTTCTATGCACAGTTTGTGAAGTTCTAAGTTAAATTTTATTATTCGTTTGTTTCCCTTATCAGAAGTTTTAGTGTAACCTTCCCTTGCTGTATTGTTTTACCTTCCTTTCAGTATGCATTTGGATCTCATGGAGTGATTATGTATAAGCTGTTTTTCTGTGCTGATGACGCCTGGCGAATTGGCGAAACATTGACGGTTTTTCTTTGCCTGCTCTGTGGAGACAAGGGTGGCTTGGAATTTTTCAAATAATAACCAGATATTTTTTTATAATTAAGGAATACTTTTATAGAACTCAACGAAATAAGCCCTCGTCTATTAAGGGCTGAAGGCATCAGGTATAGAAAATTTTAAAACCAAATTCTTATCAGATGTGGGCCATAATTCCGCGTTTGGGAGAAAGAATGCATGCCGAAAAAATTTGCAACATTAATTCTACAACCATTTTTAACAATTGCTGAAAATCTTCAAACTTATAAATTTTACATTTGCTTAATCATATATGTGCAGGAAAAATAGAAACAAAGAGGTTCTGCTGTTTTCTATTCATTACTATATTTTAGAGTTACTCTCAGTCATAAAATCATTCTTATTTAAGTAGGTGGGCAAACTGTAATAATTACAAATTAAAGAATAATTGTGATCATATATCAAGAAATATTCCTGAGACGAACGAAGAATAAAACAACTATAGCATGTATAAGAAAGGAGACTTAGGAGAATGTGGCTACTATATCTGTATTACTCAGCTGAAGGTTCCATATGATTTGTTTGCGGCATCATTCCACAACCGACTTGCTCCGTATTACGAAAAGGTGGTTGTGAGTACCAGATGGATTTTTGGATACGTAGCTGTAGAATAAGAAGACATCATATGATAAGATAAGATTGGAGGAGTGAACGCACATAGGGATCGAGTAAGTAAAGCAGGTAACGAGACAGTTTCAATTTATAATAACTTTATTATTTTATAGAATTATCACTGCAGTAAAATTGGCTAAAGGAGTCATAAAAGCGGAATTGGACTAATGACTATGCTTACCCTCAAGTTTCTGTTATCGTCCCAGAGCCGCCCAAAGTGACTTCTCCATGCGCTTCAATGTGGTTCAAACATTCAATAGAAGAAAACGTTGGATTGTTTCTTACATATCCTATTATAAGACACACAGACTAACATTTCAGAATACAATATAAAGGGCAACGAGACGGCTCTACGAGTACTTCTGTAATTAAAAATGGTTAATCGGAGAAACATTAATCCTGTGTATTTTTTTTTCTGAAACACATCTCCCACTACTACACACACAAAAGAATTGTAATGAAAGTATGTATTAAGTATCGAATATAAATCAGAGCAAAATAAAAAAAGGGAAGAGACCCCCAAAAAATTAAAAGCATGGATTACTAATTTTGATTTCGCTAATAAACACAAAAATCTGGTGTGCGCATCACACAACTTTCACTTACCATCCTCTTCTTAGCAGAAATAAGTATATCGCTGTAATCTATACAATTAAATATTAAAGAATACCAACAATAGCATTTATGAAAACTGCATATAAATATTTACATAATATTGTGGGAGCCCTTATTATATTAAGCTCATGTGGAGTATGGAAGCGTGTTCTGATCATTCGGGAGAGCTCGTATTCCTCTGGTTCCTCAATTACAACTATTCTCCGTTGCGATCTCTTGTTTCTCTTTTAGTTACTTATCAAATGCTTTCATATTTTACATTTAATAATTTTATATATTAGAGATTAATGTTAAATGGTAAATTGTTTCAAATAAAAAAAATTAAAGGTACTTTAAGGGAAGTTAACATTGAGAATCAGCCAGCTAAGCGCTGTCGGAGAAAACCAATCAGAATAAAAACTTTATTTTATTTATAATTGCTCAATTTTACACTGGCATGATGGATTTAATCAAAATCGTCAGAGCCGTTTTCGAGAAAATCGTATTAATGTGTTTAGTCCATGGTATAAAATCCCATTTCCGCATTTCCGCAATGCAATTTCACTTTTGTACCACTTTTCGTTTTTGTGTTAAGAGTGTTAACACCCAAACACACACACAGACCATTTTGCGAGACTTGGTAATTCGGACTCAGAGGATCTCAAAAC